TGTCATGTTTTCATTAAATGGATGTCCTGTGGCCATGAGGAGTCACATTTGCAAGGTAATTTGCAAAAGGGCATCTGCGGGTGTTCATCCTTCGACAGAAAGTTCATGGTACCATGGAGAGTTGTCCTTCACTGGGACGGATGTTCACAGCTAGAGTTCTTATCCTTTCACTGCCTCCCCAACTGCTTTTTCCATCTTCCCTGAAAGAAACTTATCTGTCCTCCACCCCACACCCCATCCTGTCTCCCCATCCTGAAATGGCTCCATGCCATTTCAAAGGAGACAGCCTCTTCTATGTTAACTGGCTGTGCTTGGTTTCTCTCCAGTCCTTTTTCTGCATTACTGCTGCTCCATCAGCTTCCTACTGTCTCCTCATCCTGCAGATGAACACTGTTTGCAGGCCAAACACTCAAAGTATGTTGGTCTCTCACCATTCAGTGACACCTCTCATGTCAACACAAAAAAACCCCAGGGAATTCACAAAGAACATTTCCAGTAAATACAAGCCCAGCTCACCTGTGGGTTTCCTTTCAACAAAGCTACTGCAACTCTAGAAATCCCAGTTAAGACTGGAAGAATAGCCAGATCAATCTCCAACCACTTACCTTACAAATCAAGAGCTGCCTGCACTGACACAATCCCTTACTCCTTAAATCCATAGCAAATATACTCAGAAAGCATTCAATATTGGTTGCAACAGTCAACTTAGTGGAGAGGCAGGACTGTTGTTGCTCCCGTTTTTTGAAGGTACTGCAGCAAAATAAATGTTTACTCCAAACCTCACCAATTGTAACAAAATACACTAATACAGTCCATACACTAATACAGTCAAATAGAAATCAGCCAAAATTACTATCACAGAATCACAGAATGATTTGGGTTTGAAGCAATCTTAAAAGACCTTCTAGTTCCAACCCTCCAAGCCATGGGCAGGGACAGTTTCCACTTGACTGGGTTGCTCAGAGCTCCTTTCAGCCTGGCCTTGAACACTTCCAGAAATGGGGCATCCACAGCTTCTCTGTTTCTCTGGACAACCTGTTCCAGGCCTCATTGCTCTCATTGTAAAGAATTTTTTTCTAATATCTAATCTAAATCTACTCTAAATTCTCTTTCAGTTTGAAGCCATCCCCCCTTGTGCTATCGTTACATGGTCTTATAAAAAATCCCTCTCCATCTTTCTTGTAAGATCCCTTCAGGCACTGGAAGGCTGCAATTAGGCCATTCCTAAGCTGTCTTTTTTCCAGGCTGAACTACCCCAATTCTTTCAGCCCTTCCTCACAGGAGAGGTGTTCCATCCCTCTAATCATCTTGGTGGCACACCTCTGGACTTTTTCCAACAGGTAGATGCCCTTTCTGTGCTGAGGATGCCAGTACTGAACTAATGTTGCTTAGCAAGCCTGCGTTTTAGCAAGGAAGTGAATAGGTTGGCTTTGGCCATGTCTCAGGAACTCACATAGGAACTGCTCCACACATGGTGGCATAAAGGATATTTGTGTAGTCTTAACTTTTATTTTCCACCTTAAAGTTGTCTATCATGTCCTCTACGAGCAATGCAAAAGGTTACAAGGGATTGCCTTTTACATCTACTAGCAAGTAATGAGGCTTTTGTCTCATGTTTTGACATAACATCTGTAACTTGGTCTTAGTGGAGTTATTTACATTGAAGGCTCTCTTAGAAGTTTCTCTATCCTCAATGTGCGTGCCTGCAGCTGTACAGGGAAGTCACTGCACTTTGAAGAAGTTGATATAAATTAGTACATGGGGTTAGATGAGGTTCAGGATTCCTGCAGTGATTATAAACTCAGCAGGAGACCTCACAACAGCTCCAATCTTGACAGTGTGACTGTCTTGTTAATCAACCTCCTTCAGGACTGGAAGCAGTTCTGCATCTCAGGTCTTGGGGGTTTTCTCTGGAAGCTGCAGTTTTGTGCAGAAGGATCTGTCAGTTTACAAAGTCTACAGAGCTTTGATACATTTGGTAAAACAACATCAAAAAAAGGCTAGACTTAAATTGTGGCACCCTGTGCTGCACCAGACAGCAAAAAGACTACAAATTCTTGTTACAGTTAGTGCAAAGTAAGATTTGGTGATTTTAAACCCATGCCTAAACTGATTTTGCAGCCCACGTCCAAATGCTAGTTCCGGCCATGGTGATGTCCTGAAAACAGAGGGTGACAAGATCTGTGCACAAACCAGCACTTGCCTTTTCCCGCCTGCTGGGTGGAAGGGAACACAGAGAAGCAAACAGAGCAGGTCTGGGGTACTTTCTACTGCCCTTGGTCTTGACTGAGGAAAGATGGACATGCCATGGAAGTATCTGTTCCTTGTAAAAGCCACAGCCTGACTTCTGCAAGGAACACACTAGTGAGGATGTTTTCTGCTTCACGTTGTGCAAGAGACTGCTAAAACAGGGCGCAATGTTCCTTAAAAAGATGAATTTTAAACCTCTTCTTCCTTTTGCTGATGCTCCATACAGTGGGACTGGTTCTTCCTATAATAAGCACATTTCAGCCTGCCAGCTATCTTTTCTTAGGGGAACACAAATATTGCAGCTCCTGTGCCTTTTCCCTGTCTGCCTTTGGGCACTTGTATATATTCTTCCTATATTCTCTCTGAAAAGAAGCTAAACTTTGTCTTTACTTTATAATAGTATCTCCAACAAAAAACATAGAAATGGCATTCTTTATAAAGACTCTGTTTCAGAAAAGCAGCAAATCTGTGTTACAACTTCATGGATCTGTTTGGGACAAAAAGAGGGCATGGGGAGGGCTGGAAAAGTCTGGATGCCAGTAATTTACAAAGTGAATAGCAAAGTCATGTTATTACTGTTGCTGTTTTCACCAATTAGCAGTGACAACCACCACTGCGGGTCTGGATGTGTATTGTGAGACTACCTAAGCACTGCTTTTGTACTACACAGAAGTTTCCTGACACAAAAAATCCACTTTCCAGTACAAAAGAGAGCAGATACAAGTATCCAATCTGAGAGAGTACTACAAGGGAAAGTACAAGTGGAGCAGAAATGTGCAGGCATGAGAAACAGTGGTACAGCCCTGACCTCACCACTGTTTTTCCACCATGCTTGGGAAAAAGGAGGTCCTTAAGAAAGGACTGGAAGATAGCTATGGAGCTAAGTGGGAAAGTCTTCAAGGCTCTTCCAATATCTCATTGGAAGCATGGGAGAAACTGGGGCTGGCATCACTGGGTAAGCAAAAGTGGGATCCTCCAAATCAGAGACAAATAGCTGTACTTGATGTGATAAAGAAGGAGATGACATTGGTGAGATGTAAAGACAAATGTCTTTGGGCAAGATGTCAAGCTAGGAAAATGATCTGCACAGCAGCACGAATGGAGGTGGGTAACATTGCATTTGTCAAAAACAAGGGAAGGATGCTGCAGCAATCAAAGTGTATAATGAGAATTTTGGACCTGAGACTTACACCCTTAGAACAAAGAGCTTCAGGTAAAAATGCTATAGAGTAACAGCCTACAAGATTTATGCGTAGACTTAGACAGAGAGATACAAGGGAATTTCAGAATAGAAAGTGATACCCAGGTTGCAGACCTGGAGGATGAGCAGATTGGAGAGGTTGCCCACCGTCAACCTTAACAAAAGTATTTCTTGAGGAACATTCCAAAGGGAAAAAAAGAGAGAACAGCAGGTGTGTTCACAGGTTTGGAGATGCACCTTACCATCTCTAGACATATAGTGCATTTTTCTTCTCAGCTGGGGTCTCTTACATACCCATCTTCCTCTGTGTGGAAGAAATTGTGTCTCCTCTACATTTTTGCCTAATTGCATGACACAAATTGCAGAACCCAAAGGAGGAAGACCAGTTTCTCTGACTTTTAATTTTAAAAGCCTTCCATAAAAAAGGGGTGTCTGAACCTCATATCATGAATTCATGATATCTGCTACAAATTTGTGACAAACAAGCAGGACTGTGGCTAAGGCTGTGGAATATGTATTTCAGTCTTACAAAAGCCTATTTTGTAAATGTTAGCTAAGTAAAAACTCTAGCAGTGAAGCCATAAGCGATATATCATCATCAACTGCTGATAAACTCTTTGTCCAGCTTAGGAATTGAAAGCTGCATTCAAGATATTGAGGGATAATAGAGAAATACCTTTAGAAACAACAGGCGTAAGCCACTACTAATCTCTAAACCAAATATTTATAGCTCTGTCATTTATAAATCATCAGAAATATTGGGTAGTTGATATACAAGAGGTGGAAGCACAGACAGTAATAGAGAGGTTTTATCATTCCATCTACCTTCCTTTGTGTTTCAACCACTATTAGATCAGATTTATAAGCATTGTGAATTACTGCATTATCATTTTCGAAAAAGAACCAAAACCCCCATGAGTTAAAATATATGGAAAAGTTGCACTGTTTGTAAATTTGTCTGCCCCAGAAAATAATCAATATCAAAGTTGATTCAAGCCAAGACATGTCTGAATGTGTGTTAATTTACTCCATGAAAATAAACTAGAAATTACTAAGATAAAAGAAATAATAATGAAATATGGAAATAAGTATGGATTTTGCACATTGTCATTATATAATGGACATAATGAACATAATGACATTACATAATTAAATCCAGGTGGAAAATGACCTTCCTAGACCTCCCTTCAAAATTAAGATTTTTGACAGTCATGATTAATGGAAACATGCACTTTGCATGGTTTGTAAACCTGAAACATCATTGTACATTTCAGTTTATAATTTATCCCATTATCTGCTTCTCCATGCATGAAGGTCAGCTGTACTGGCATAAAGTAGCAGTGAAATCTACAGGCTTTGAAATGTTGTTCTCACAGATTTTTTCAATTATTTTTCATGAGGAAATAATTTTGCCTACTTTTTCCTTAGAAAGATGACAATCTAAAAGAGCAATATTTTAACAGCTGTAATTGCAACATTTGTGTTATTCTCTTGTTTTTTTAGAGTAAATAAAATGTAACTGGAAAGTATGTTTTTTAAGGATTCCTACCCGTAATATTTCTTCAATGCAGCTGTTATCTCCTGTTCCATTGTCCTGTAAACAAAATGAGAAAACAGTTTGTTTATGTTTTTAAAAGAAATAACAAATAGGTCTGAGGACATGGTTGTCACATGAAATACATTCTACCCTCTACTGCAGTTTCAAAATGAGGCCAAGTCCTTCCAGCATCTGAAAAGTTGCACTGCTTAAAATTCTCAAATTATTCCCCATCAGCACCACAGGAAGATGTAATATTTGCAGTTTACATATGATTGCAACATATTTTATAAATTCACAGGATTTTGTTTACAACATTTTTGGGTGCAGTTCCTGTTATTTCGGCTCTACTGCATATGAGTTAGCAGAAGCAAAGCAGTTACTGCATGTATAAGGTTTCAATATGTGCATTTATTTATATTAAATAAATAACGTCTCTCCATATCCTTTGTGAAGGAAAGACTTTGCAGTGACACTGCCTATGTAAATTCTGAGGATGTATAGTGTGGAGGCACCTATGCTGTTGAGGGGAGACCTGCAGAGATTGCACAGGCAGCAACACTGAGCACAGCAGTCCTGAGAAACTACCATTTCCCAAAATGCCAACCTTAAACCCACCATTGCGGGTCTGAGGGTGCAGAAGAATTCATCTCTCCCAAATTTGGCTCACTCCAGAGCCCAACTCTGGAGAGAGGAACCGAGAGATTTGGCAGAGCAGCTATCCTCCCACAGGAACCATCCAGCCAGCGCCTCACCTACATGCTCAGTTGTTTGTTAGGACCCAGCAAGGGTAAGGAATTGTGGGACACCACCCTCCTGTAATTATGCCCTTCCCTCCCTCCTGCCTGCCCTCTGCCCACAGTTTGCTTGTGCTGCCCAACACAACTGGAAGAGATGGCATACCTTGGATATGATACTGATGCTGAGGGGATGCCTGTCTCCTGCAGCTCTCCACAAGACACATGTGGCTGCTGCATCCAGCAAGTTTTCTGGGGATTTACTTCATCACATTAAACTCCCTAACAATTCCCCAAAGAAAGGTTTTCTTCCTTTTGCAGAACAGAACTAACTCAGGAGGCAGGGGACTGGGGCTTGAGGCCTTCCATGTGGGAAGAGGGGACAGAAAAAACCCAACCTGACTAATTACTATCCCCAAAGAACAAGCAGAGAGGTGAGCTTGGTCTTCTCTAATTTTCAAAAAACACATGTATGTTCTGAATTTTCAGGTGCCCACCTGGAGATATATCAAAGCAATCTGATTTTCCAAACTGCTGAACTCTTCTCATCTGAAAGTCAGACTTCTCTATGGCATGTATATTTAGGCACCCAAAAAGTCACCACAGACTTCCAAAACTGAATTCCTCTGTGCCTACTGGTGCCAAATGATCCCCCTAGTCAGTTTGTGCAAATCCTGTTCCTAGACACCTTCACCACCACTCCCCAGTCTGAGCTGAGGGACTGAGGAGGTCTGGATCTCTCGCAGCCCACCAGCTGTAACCAAGGGCAGGAGAACAGCAGCCATGTGAATGCGTGGGAACAGTTTGGCCCCATTCAGACCTCAGTCCTGTCTCTGAGGAGCTGCACAGCACCATGTGCAACCTTCCCGCCACCGGAGCAGAGGGACAGTGCTCATGTTACCAGTGAACCTAACAAGATGGACAGAAACACAATGATCTTTGGATATTCAATAATTTAAAAATTCATACTAGATAACAAAACTACTGAAGGTAAATTCGGCAATATGCTATTTCAGACTAGGTTTAGAAACAAGCTTATCTTACAAAATTAAGTAACTCTCTGACAAGTGTAATTAAATAAGTCTTCAAATACTCATCAGCAAGAAATTTTGCTTTCTGTTACCACAGAACTAAAACTTTACCTATTCTTCCTAGCGTATCATCTCTCTGGGCAGGAAGTAAAAAACTTTTCCCATCTCTCCCTCAACATCATCACACAGCCTTTCAAAAGATGAAAAATGAGCTGGAAACACAAAACCAAAGACAAGATACGCATGACTGAAACATTATCTGGAAAACAACCCCTAAACTTCCACATTTTCCTCTTTGTTCTTCATCTTTTGAGTGCCAAATATAAATTTTTATATTTATTTTTGCTTTGAACACTTGTAAGGATCCTAAATTTACTGTTGATATCAAACTTTCTAGAAAAAGGTCAAGGCAGTTAAGAGACCATGCTCAACACACATCAAGCAACTTCAATTTGATATGGCTTGGGGCCATTGTTGACGTTTTTTTTTCATCCTTTAGCACAATGCAGAATGTTATTGTGGGGCCTAAGGTATATCTGAAAAGTGTCTGTAGAGGTTGTAATGGAAAAAACTCCCCATTCTCACTTTAAAAGCTCTTCCCCACTACATCTCGACTCACATTACAAAGGAATACACACTGCCAGGGAATCTGGCAACCTGAATTAAACTTTGTGGCAATAGTTCATTTAAAAAAACAAAAACAAAACCAAAAACAAAAGCTGGTAAACGTTTCTTGAAATATGAATTAAAAGAAGAGATTGCAATAACTCAGGGGGAGCAAGCACCACAAAGCACTTGACGTGCTATGTGCTTCGCTGAGCTTGCCTGATACGAAGGCTATCGCGTCAGTGCTGCCTGTGTGACGTGAGGCTTATGTTGGCAGTGCTGGCAGGCTGTGCAAGGTAGTCCCGTGCATCCCCTCAACAGCCACAATACACTTGTACAATAAACGTTTCAGTTACTTAAAAAAATGTAATATCAAAACAAGATAAAGATTTTGAGGTTGCTGTTGCTAACTAAGCTAAGCAGCTGCTCCCCTGTATTTATTCTGACACTGATGAACCCATCTCATTTGTTTCCCTTTGTGTTTTGCAGCCTGTCATAACAAACTTGCCTCACTGAACCTCCAGTGGACCATCAGTGAAATAGTGGCACATCTTGGGGAGCTGTCAGGGGAAGTGGGCTCCAGTCTCTTCCCCCTCCGATGATGCTGTGCCCATTACCTCCGTCCCTCAGTCAGTACGGCCTGGGACGCCAAACATCTGCACACACGGGCGGCTGAGGAGCTGCCGGTGAGGATGACAGCAGCGGCTGCTGAAGAAATAGCCGGGAGCATTGCGCTGCTGATAACTCGAGCAGCTAATTACCATGCAAAGCACAGAGAACTGTAAGAAACAAGGCTGAGTAAAGGCTACATCGAATTCTTGGGAAACAGGATGTAATTTCAAAAAAAGCTACCTCTGTGCAAATTTTATTTCAGAACATTACTTTTTCTTCCCTTACCAAGAGCTTTCACACGGAGATATATAAAGAAACCTCTCTGAAAGGAATTGCCTATCTTGTGATACTTTTCCCTCCTTTCAAATTTTTCTGTTAGGGAAAGAAAGAAAAATCTTCTGCAAGTATCTATTTCCATTTTAGCCTACGAGATTTTTATGATGCGAGCTTTTGGTGCTGTTATTATTTGGACTGTACTAGGTGTTTTTACAAAGTATCCAGAAGTTATTGCATTTTTGTCTCCAATATCAATTAGGCATGATTATAATCTCCAGAATCCTGAGGTACATACTCATCCTCTTCCACTCAGTGGGAGCCAGGCTGGCTGTGTCAGTGCTTGAACACCATTGGCAACCATCAGCATGACAGTGGCCTGCACACGTGGCACTTTGGGTGCCACCTCTGCCTCAAGGGCAGCTCTTGTACACCCCCTGCACAGGCAGGGCACAGCATTGCTCCTGCTCCCCTGGAGCCTAAAGGGAAGCTTCAGGCAGTGAATGTTGGCAGACAATAACCTAAATCCACGGTGATATAAAATAGGGGGAAAAAAGGGGGGAAAAAACCCATTTTGATGGACTTTGATCTGAAAGCGTATTAGAAATGCCTTTTTCCCAGGCAAGACACACAAACACATACACACATGTATATATAACCCTTTTTATATAATGCATTTGCTAGAAAGGAATTCCCAGTATGAGGAAGATAAGTAAACTCCTTATCTTTCTACTTCTTCATATGTCCAGCTTCTGCCTGTTGGGTTGTGGAGAACCATTACACTCACCAAAATTTCCCTTTGATTATTTCTCTAAAGAGACCTTAACACCTTCAAGTTGTGGAATAAAAGGCTGGAATTTAAGTTTCATGCATAAGATCAGAGATGTGAGTTGCAGGGATTCTGCAGAAATACAGCCAGGTTGTGTAAAGGAATTTTTTGGAAGGTTTCATTTGCAGATGTCTGGGAAGGGTTTTTAAGATATTCAGGGCTTAACTTGTTGATTTCCTTATATGTGCTACATCCTCCAAAATGTTCTTTATGGAGGAGTAATGCTGAACTTGCACAGGTTCAGCACAAAGTCCTGAAAAGGCAGGGATTTGAACCCCAGCAAAGGTTAAGGCTGAAGTTAAAGCTGGTTAAAAGAACAGACCTCAACCTGGTTAAAATTTTACATTTCTGTCCCTCACAAAATGCACACTTTTTGTAATGTGTTTTCATTCTGAATTGGAGGGTGGAGGGGCAGGCACCTCCATGTAAATTTTATTCCATTGGTTGTGTTCCCATTCAAAATGCAATTGTGTCACATCATCCCCTTAAAAATGAAATTTTAAGAGGCATTCTTCCGTTCAGTTGAGAAATCAAAGTTTGGTCAGATCAAAATACTTCAATGATAAATTTTAAGAAATGCAAATATAATCTGAAGTCACAGAATAGGATATGGCCTAAATCAAGAAGGCGTTAAACTAAAATATAAAAATGTTTATTTCAAAATGTGGTGAATTTTCACTTAAAGAAAAAATTTTCTTCAAAAAAGAATGAAAAATGGGTTTGGTTAAAGTCAGCATAGATGCAGATGTTTTCAGTTTTGATAACCTGGAATATTCCATAAGGAAAGGACGGCATAGGAAAAACCTCTAATCAGAACAGAATTAAAAATGGCATTTATTCTTTCCCACTGCACCCCCCAACAAGAATGGCATTTCCATCTTGATGGTGATATGAGAACTACCACCAACTTTTCCTTCTAGTTTAAGAGGGTTGGACTTCAGTGAGCCATAGCATACTGTAGTCACCCTC